GAAAGATCAAAATGTTGGTCTCATTCAACATTTATTATATTCAATGTGCAATTGAATGGGAATCACCAGTAAGAAAACAATTATCTAAAATTTAAAATATTATAAATAAAAACATAAAATGTAAAAACACTTATTTATTTTATAATTAATAAAAGTAACAATAAACATTTTATTTCCATTCTAGTACATGCTCTTTGGCCTAGTACCCAAAGTAGCATTCACCAGCACTGATACAGTGCCACAATTCTAATGCTGTCCCTCCTTTTCTCAGCAATCCTTAATTTTTCACTTGAGTTCTATTTTAAATACTATGGAGACTTTGATACTTAACCCGAGTTGTTTGGGCTGTTTTACCTAATTCAGAGTCATTAGATATTAGGCCTATCTAAACAAAGTCAACACAAAAACAACAGCAACACTAAGCTTACTGATAATAGCATTTATAGCTTGCTTTTTTTCTTGAGACACTAAAAACTCTTTAAAGACATTTGCCATTTAGTAATCATTATATATGAATGATGTGCTGATATGGCATATGTGATAGAAAAAGAATAATAAACAGTGTATCATACCAACTTTATCCTACAGTCTCTAGGAAACCTTCAAATTGATGAAGCATCAAGCCATAAAAGGATTGTATTTGCAATGGGAGCTTAGAATTATTGGCTGGCAAAAGAGAGCAGAGCAAGAAGATGCCAACTGTATATAAATACAGAGTTGACATAGTGACGGCCAAAGCAGCATGTCCATCTCATCAGCTTGTTCCAAAATACAAAGGCAGTGCAATGGAGCCAGCTTCTTGAAGGCCAAGGATTCTACCTGAAGGGGAAATCAGAGCACACTGGGTGCTTTACATCCCTGTAGAACAACCAAGATGGAAAAAAGAGCTGTCCATGTCCAGGGTTGAATGATAAATAATCCACATACAGTCCTGCCCCAAACAGATCTGGTACGATAAAGTATCCATGCAGTGGAGGATGTTACATTAACCAGGACAACGATGACAACAGCTGGCACTTTTTTGCAGTATAGTAGAACTTAGAGAGGAGTCCAGCAACCTGAGCTGGTCATAGATCAGCAACCGACTTTGCATGTACTGAGTTGCTCCTACAGAGTCCTACACGGTTCCCTAACACCAGTCCCAGCCCAGGGTCTGACTGTGTCCCTGCTTTCACCACTTTTCGGTAAAATCTGAAAAATATGGGGGATAAAGTTAAAGTCTTTTTTTAAAAAGTTGAGTAAGTATAGTTTAAAAAATAAAACTACATTTATTCATGTTTCATTTTCAAATGCTCTTGCCTTTATGAAATGATGGTTATGACAGGTAGTGGTAGAAATAGCAACAGAATTTGTTGTATTGTTGCTTTAAAAAATGTGGATATTTCTGTGGGGTTTTTTCCATTAAAAAATTATTAGTTTGTTAAATCTAAAAATCTGAGGACTTCTGGTACAAAAATTCTGGCCAAAATCAAGTAGATTTGGTTTAATCTCTGTCACTAGCTGTGTGACCTACTCTAAGCTTCTGTTTCCTCACCTGTTAAATAGAAACAACAATAATGCCTACCTCATAGGTTGTCATGGAGATGACGGAGATAATGCAGAGCGCAGTATACAGTAACAGGCAAGTGTTAGCTTTTTAAAAAAAAAAGCCAAAAGAAAGGCCCTCACTTTGCTCATCTTTCAAATGGGGCATTCGACCTCACAGAATTCTGCACACCCCACATTCTACATTCTACATCCTACATTCTATCCCATGATTTCAGTCCTCTTTCTAGGCTATTCAAATCCACAACTGTTCACAGGTCCACGTTAAATTATGATCCATCTGTATAATGAACCACCATCCAGCCATGGAATGACACCCACATATATTGTTGAGTGGAAAAAACATAGTTACTAACCAGTTATTAACAACATGATCCAATTTTTGTAAAATGAAATACATACGAATTGTAATTTCTAGCTCATTCTCTGAAACCCTCCCCAATTACTTTAGGCCAGTGCTGTCCATGAAATATAATGTGAGCTGCAATGTGAGCCATATGTGGAATATTAAATTTTCTAGTAGCCACATTAAAAGAAACAAATGAAATTTATTTTAGTGATATATTTTATTTAATCCAACATAAACAAAAGTCTCATTTTCATATGCATTCATTACAAAAATTATTACTGAGATATTTTACATTATTTTTTGTATTATGTCTGACATCTGCTGTGTATTTTACTCTCACAGTACATGTTAATATGGACTGGTTGCATTTCAAGTACTCAATGGCCACATGAGGCTGATGGCTACTATATCAGACAGTACAGCTCTATGCAATTAGTCCTTCTCCTCATGTCAAATTAGATTTATCAGACTGAAAGAAGATTCTGTCTTATTTATCTTATTTATCTATTGCCTAAAATGGTTCCTGACACCTACTGGGTACTCAATGAAGATTAACTTGAATGAATGCATTTAATTCAAACTATTCTGCTAGAGTGGGGACTTTGCATTTTTAAGCCTCATGTTAATCATAGAATAAAAGGCACTTGCACCACTCCCTAAAAAGAGCATAGAAATTTTGGAAAGTATCTCCCCCAAATCACACCTCACAAATTGCCTCCTGCTTTGTCTAGGAGTAAAGCCAACCATACAGATATGTAAGATACCCTCACAAATTAACTAAAAAATATTGACAAAACTAAAGCTAACACCAAAATGTATTTTATAGATAAATGAATGTTGAAAGATAGCTGGAGTGAGGGAAATGGACAATAAAAACTTTATTAAATGCCTACTATGTTGTAAATAATTTACATAGAGCATTTATAATCCTCACTAAAACTCATAAGGTAAGGTGGAGGAATAAGGACACAGAAGGCAAAAAAATTTGGCTGTGAAATTACTAAAAAAACAAAATCCCTTTGAGTTAGAATCCTATCCCTGTCAATTTCTAGCTTTGAGACATAAGGCAATTTTCTTAATCTCTCTGAGCCTCAGTTTTCTCATCTGTAAAATGGACATTAAAACAACTACCTTTGATTAATTGACACATAACAAACTTTCAATAAATGACACTATTGTTATAGTGGGGCTTAATTAAAACAGGAGCAATCATTATTAAATCATCCTTGGTTTACAGAAGAGACTGGTTCAGATGAATTAAACAGCCTCTGTGTCATGTAGCAAATAAACAGATGAGCCAGAATTCAAACCCAGGTTCAAACTTAGTGAGCCCATGCACTTTGCATCCTGCCATGCCTGGGAAGGTTTCATGGCAGAGACGTTAGTATTTGGGTACACAATATTCTGCAAGAACACCCACATGGCAAAGGATGCAGAATAAACACAATTTGAGCAGAAAGGCATCTCACTTAATTGGATCAGATCAGTATAGGGAACTGGAGGAGCTAAAGGTGAGTCAGTACTGGGAATTTGGCTTATGGAAAGCCTTGAGCCTCTTGGAAGAGTTAAGACTTGATTACCACCTAAATCCAGTCATAAATCTGAGAAACAGTTGACCAATCTCTGTGCAATTATGAGGTTCTTCTTTTTTTTAACTTAATTCTTTAGGCTAATAGGAACATTCCTTTATTCAAGTAAAGGCTGAACATATGTTTTTGTACACTCCTCAAATCCTACCCTAAATTTGTGTTAATCCTTTGAGTCTACAGGAGGAGGGGTGTTCACATTCCCATATATTAACTGGGTTGTGAAAGAAAAACCGACCAAACTCTTACCTGTGGTTAGAACATTGCAACAACCTTACTCAAGTTAGATCCTTTAGCAGGCCCATTAAACCAACACAGCTGCTCACCATTAGTTACCCTTCCTCATTTGGCTGTTTGCCTGAATCACCTCATCAATGAGACATGAGCCACCACACCTGGCACCCTCATGTTTGAGCCTAGACATGTGAAGAACGTTATCAAAAATATTTTTCTTAAAAATGAACAAAATGTATGTATGTGTATGTAGAATCTGCATATAAACATGATACACATATATGTGTTTAAGAAACACATGTAACTAGGAATTTTCTATCAAAAATGGAACAAAAATTATTTACAAAAAAAAAATTCACTTAATTACTTTGTTTTTATAAACACTAACAGCTGCTCACCATTAGTTACCCTTCCTCATTTGGCTGTTTGCCTGAATCACCTCATCAATAAGACATGAGCCACCACACCTGGCACCCTCATGTTTGAGCCTAGACATGTGAAGAACGTTATCAAAAATATTTTTCTTAAAAGTGAACAAAATGTATGTATGTGTATGTAGAATCTGCATATAAACATGATACACATATATGTGTTTAAGAAACACATGTAACTAGGAATTTTCTCCTATCAAAAATGGAACAAAAATTATTTACAAAAAAAAATTCACTTAATTACTTTGTTTTTATAAACACTGTACTCTATTTAAAAATTGTGTGTTCCTTTTCTCAAATTATTTATTTTGGCATATATTATTTACACACAAAATGAGACAGAAAATCTTTTAGCAAAAATTACCAGTAGAAGTATAAAGTTTCAGGGAAATTGTCATTAACTTTGAATGAATAGTTAGTTATTCCCTCTGATAAGTTCATACGCAATTATTTCTCATCCTTTTTAAAAAGAGAAAAATATATATATTTGCCAATTTAAAAAGAAACTGTACAGAAGATTAAAATTGACACTTTGAAAACCTTTTAAAAGTTCACAGTCTTTAAAACAAACCAGACATTACTGATAAACTGAACCATCGATTGAAAACCGAAAAGTATTGTAATTACTCAAGACATTTTCTTCTTCCCTGGCCTGTTAGAGTCCCGGCGCTTTCATTATATGACACTTTTCAGCACTTTTAGCTGGTTTGTGGCACAACCCCCCAAAGAAACACGAAGAGTAATTTTCAAAAGGAACTTTTATTTTTAATATGGATTGATTTTTTTAAAGGCAGCTCCAAGCAGCCCAGTATATCAAACAGGAACCATCACACCAATCCCAACACATCAAGGGGCAGTTTTAACACGTGAGGTTTGTTGTTTCTAGCAGGTATCCATGTAGCGAGAGAGGTCACCACTCAGCGAGGTGCTTTCTTTCTGGTGTATAAGAAAAGAAATCACCAGGAATAAGGGGGGAAATGGGCTTGGGAAACAGGAGGGGACCTTGTCAATCTCCAAGATGCTAGAAAATGATCGTGGAAGTCTTTTGTTAGGGAATCCTATAATGGTATTGCTGCTCATCTCTTGTGGACACGAACAGCAACTAGCCTAAGATGGTAAGGGCGACAGAGGATTAGACAAACCGTGAAAAGGCCCTGGAAAGGACATTACTGGTGTTTGGAATCATAAAGGCCAAAATTGTATCATTATTTACCTTCAACAGCAATGTCCTTATAAACAGGATTTCTTGGGGAGAAAAAAAACCACAGGCATATGTGAAATGTTTATTAGGACTACATGTATATAAATTATTTTACAAATGTGGAAAGAAAAAAACGCCTTCTAGAACTATTCTTATATATTCTTAAGGATCATACACAATTGCTTTTTTGTTTTTTATGTTAAGAATTTGTTACTTCTAAGGACATTGAGCTTGTTCCCAACCCCTTTTATTTTAAACATATGGATCCCTGAGAAGATTAGCATTGTGCTGGAAATAATTCTGATGCATACAAAAAAAGCAATAAAAGGGAACAACTGGAAGAAATGGATAAATGTGTAAGATTTCAAGATAGCTAGTAGGATTGTAAGGTCACATGGCAGGCTCCCCGGCATTACTCACTAGGCAGAATAACAGAATATTCCCGAATCTTGGATTTCAGGAAACTACATTATAAAGAGCTAACATTTTTGTACATACAGTCTCGATGCATATCTTTGTCCATCCTCTCATAGCCACTTTATTGAAAAGGAGAACCGTTAATCAATATTTTTAAAGGTGTTAGAATCTGTGTTGTATTGTTTAATAAAGGTAATTTTTGAGTAAGATTAAACAATATTTCATTAACTAACTAGATCTTTTTTCTCCTCGGTATTTTCTCTAAAATGCCTGTTTTGGAGCAATTTAAAAATCATGATTTACCAGCAAGTTGGATAATTTTTTTCTTCAAATAATAATAGTAAATATAAAAGCAGTAATGGTTATGATAATAATCATGAGGCTGTTTTGGAGCAATTTAAAAATCATGATTTACCAGCAAGTTGGATAATTTTTTCTTCAAATAATAATAGTAAATATAAAAGCAGTAATGGTTATGATAATAATCATGAGTGTTTGTCTAATAATGTAGACAGTCACCTGTGATGTGCCAGATGCTGTGCTGGAGCTGGGAGACCGACAGGAACCAGTCCCTGCCTTCACAGATTCCAGACTAGCAGATAAACATGGACATAAATGATTATGATACAATCAGATAAGTAGTCACAGAGTTAGTTGTACAGGCCATGATAACCTGAAATTCTGTACATGCAGGAAATTCTTATTTAGTGCTTATTGAATGAATGCAGTAGCCTGGCCAACCTACAACATTCACACTCTTCTGTCATTCTCTCTTGGTTGGACTCCACCTATAACCTATTTGACCTGTGGCCCTCGCTAGGTTCTTGGCCGCTTTCCCAGACTTAAACCCATTCAAGCCGCTAATATCCTGTTATATCAAAGTGTCCAAAATTATTTCTGAGAAGCTGCAAAACAAAGCTGTTGCTAATAGCAATGAAATTTTCAGAAAACACATTAACTCTTCCATACATTGAGAAGTAGGGCAATCTTAGTATTAGACAATTAGAAGGGCCAGCCCCTGGGCTTGAATAAGCACGTGTCTATCTGCAGGCAAACCTTTTATGAAAATCTGCCTGAGATTTAAATCACTACTGTACTTACCTGGGTTTGCAAGTCTCTTTATTTCTATGCATTTATTTTGCTTTTAGGGTAAGAAACCACCAGGGGGACTCCTGAGCCTTTGTTATATCTCATGGTCCAAATAGATAGACTTCCTACAGGTATAATTCACAAAGAAAAATAAAATTGTTTCCCCCATGAAAATAGAACTTTTATTAAAACAGTTAAGTGCACATATTTAAAACATAGGGACTCTTTCTAGAAAAGATACATAACATAGAGCAGGACTTGGACGAATAAAAATATCATGGATTTTTAGAGGTGGAAAATCTTTTTTTTTTTTTTTTTTCTAATTCAAACGCTGAAATGATGGCCCAGAGTGGCTAAGTGACTTTACCCAAGCTACCCTGCCAATCCAGGGACAAGCCAGGAGCAGGCTTCTAATCTACAGACTTCCTACTGAACACATTCCTCACTTAACTCTCGTTAATGACGCTTTACAATCCACCAAGGTTTCTTTTTACACTCAAGATAGTAGGATGCTTCCTTAAATTTAACTAGAATTTCTTCACTCCATGTACACAACTTTGGGACTTTTCAGGGCATTTCAAAGGCCTTGCAGATAAGGCACTAGACAATGACTCCTCGCAAGACAGCTCTGACCTTCTCACCTACAACTTCTTCAGAAACATTACTGTTGCCTATGTATCCCTTGCTCTTAGTCCTTGTTTCTTATATAGTGGTGAAGCCAAAAAAGAAAATAAAAAGATATGTACAATAATATTTTTTCGTACAACTGTAATTGTCTTGAGCAAATAGGGGAGGTTTTATTTCTTTTCCACCTGGATTCACTCCCAACTTCTCTATATTCTTGCTTTTCAATACTTCCAATTATAAATATATTGCTTATGTTTGCTCTTTAAGCATTTGTTCCTTGAAGAGAAATCTATCCAGTACCTGTTCGGTGCCAGGCAGGGATGCTGGGTATGGAATATACAGTAACACCACACCATGCCTGCCCTCATGGAGCTGACAGGCTGCAGGGGAAGGAGGCCAAAGAATAAATATTCACACAAATAAATACAGATGGTCCCCAATTTATAATGATTCAACTTATGATTTTTCAACTTTACAATGGTGCAAAAGTGATACGCGTTCAGTAGAAACTGTACATCAAGTACCCACACAACCATTATTTTTCTCTATTAGAACAGTATTCAATGAAATTACATGAGATATTCAACACTTTATTATAAAATAGGCTTTGTGTTAAGTGATTTTGTCTAACTGTAGGCTACTGTAAGTATTCTGAGCATGTTTAAGGTAGGCTCGGCTACACTATGATGTTTGGTAGGTTAGGTGTAAAATGCATTTTCTACTTAAGATATTTTCAACTTCCTGTGAGTTTATGGAGACACAACCCATCATAAGTCAAGCAGCATAGATAGATAGATAGATAGATAGATAGATAGATAGATAGATAGATAGA